GCCCATCTGTGCTTCAAAGTGCAAGGCCCTATTTCCTTTTGCCCACGTGCAACTGCTCTGCGTTGGACGTTTTATATAATTTGCTTCCCTGTATTCTTTCCTTTCCAATTATATCCCTCCCAGTGAAACTTTTGTTTTATTTTATTTTCTTTCAATACATATGTTTTACAAAACAGAGGCACTAAAGTGGTGCTAAAAGAAGCAGCAAGGAAGAGATGGAGGAATTACAACTAGATAATAAGAAGAGTATTTTAGGGACCCATTAGAATTAAGCCACTCCAGGAAAAGCTTCATCATCATTCTGGGAAAATTTGTTCCTCCTTATCAGGTACATCTAAGGAACCTTTAGAGCTCACAATACACTTAACAGCACTGAGGTTCTACTTTATAGCCATACTATACCAAGGATTCTGCCAATGCACAAAACGTTCTTGATACTCTAGAAGAGCATGATAAGGAAGAAACACAAGAGTCTTGCCACGTAAGATCTGCCTATCCTGCAAAAAACACGGGTTAAGATGTCATGTCAGGGTAAGAAATCCTGTTAAGGATGTTAATCAACCAGATATCCCTGACTTGAAAAGAGAACAGATTTTGGGGCTAGTTCCAAGGGGACTGTTTGCACTTGACAAAATTGCTGACGTCTATAATCCATGTTGTGTAGATAACGCTTGCTTCTAATAGTGATACAATTTTATTGATATGGCAAAGATACACGGAGAACACTACGTGCTGAAACATGCACTTGTATTTTACCTGCAGTCCCATTTTTTTATTTGATTTTTTTAATAGAAAAGCTGACTTACCTGCACATTTTTTCCTTCTCTGCTAGTATTTCAACTTGATAACACACATAAAATCAGTCAGAGATTTCAAGATCAGAGAAACCCACACTTACTGTCCTTCATATTAGAAGTTTTACTGATTATTGCCTAAACAAGAAACCCCTTCCATTTGTATTGCTGCTATGACTATAGCAGCTATTAAACTGGCAGCCAACACAGTGCCACTTCCTCTTCCCCAACCTTTTGGCAGAACAATTGCCACAATATACACCAGGACATACAGCAGCCAGTCATGCTGCTCCTGGATCAGCTCAGGATTGAGCCTGCACCCGTCTAATTGCTCCTTTGCCACTGAACTGCCAAGATGTCCTCAGACAGAAATGAGAATGGTGCTAGAAAACTTACCATCCCACAACTGTATGGGATAGTCGTGATGACCATTTAAAATCCTTGTTCCAAAAGCAGCTTAAACCAGCTAACAAGTTCTGCTTACTTTTTTAAAAAAAAAAAAAAAAAATGTTTATATTTCTAAGGTTCCTAAAAATCGTATCTTTACTGTACTTACCCTAAAGGTTAACCAAAGTCACTCCCACAACAAATACACCAAGATGATGCATTTTGAGGTAGCTTGTTTAATTTGAACCAAATACCATAGCACTAAGTCAAGACACACAAAGAGTAAAGGAACAAGTGCTGAATGGGACTATACGAAAGAGTAGGCAGCTTCTGAAGTGTATGTTAAGTGAAAACTGAATAGAAAAAGCCTAGTGTTACAGATGACACTGGAGAACTATCAAAACTTCCTTACATGGGCTTTAACAATGTCATCAGAGAAAAGAACTATCTTTTAAAAAACTCAAGCAAACAAAATAAAAAAGTAGTCCCTTTCACCTCACCTACAGGCAAGCAAGATTCAAAGGAAATGTTAACAAAGGTGAAAGAATTTTTACATGAAGATAACTGTGGCAGGGAAATGGCAAGAATTAAAATCCAGCTAACAGGAAAAGATTACCCTGTAGTGTAAATGGGCCTACAGTACATCTAACTACGTGAACGAAGAAGTCACTTCTCAGCCACAACAAAACTTCGGATAATTTCAAGGCATGTAAATTAGAGATATTTAACTGAAAGATTTATGAATATGTTTATATAGAATCAAATGTTCCATTACTGTTTGTAATTCACTTCTGCTATAGATGAAAAATCATTTCCGTATGTATTTCTTGTTCTTTCAATAACTTATCTTCATCCCTTTCCTTCTTTTCTATTGAGCAGTACTTTTAATAAAAGTAGGACACATTATAGAATCAACACTACATATTTTCATTTATATACTGATCTGATACACATACATTGATATATATATGTAATGTTATGTAATATAGTATACTAAACTGTTAACTCTATTTTGTATTATAAGGCACATTTCCTTCAAACTCTTTTGAAGGAAAATGATAGGATGTGTTCCAGAAAACCACCCTTGCTTATGAGATATGGATTATCAGAGAAACACCAAGCACTAATTTTGGTCTTCAATATTATTGCCTGTTATCTACCAGACTGATGCCATACAACACACAAGAACAAAGGTAGCTTCTCAGACTGGACATGTGGCAAAAAGAAAGCCTGGATTTAAAAGATGGTGTTTTATCTGAAAAGTGATGTACATCCTGGCCACACACAAGCAGAAGTGAAAAGAGACAAAAATGAGGCTGGACTCTGGACTGTGCTGAAAAGCCATTCATCCACCAAAGAAGTAAAACCAGAAAAGGACAGATATACACATACTACAAAGAGAGAAGTTACATGTAGTAAGTATATAAGAAAGTACATAATGTATATATTTAACAAATGTATTTTCCAAAGTAAGAATTCCAGAAATTTAAATAAGTTGCAAGTGTAAGAGAAGCATTTAAATACTCATTACAGGCACAGACAAATTAAGAATTAACAAGTTAATGACTTAACAAGTCTCCATTAATGAATTTGGAAACTAGGCCCTTCAATGCTTTACTGGAATATCTGAAGCATGACAAACTCTGGAAAACAGATTTGTCCATATGGAAAAAAACAAACAAGTGTCCAAAGTTATTTACAGAGTGAACAGATAGTCTTGATGCTCTTAAAACAAACAAAAAAATCCCTCCACCATCTAACAATAAATACCATTATAACGTACCACCAGTGTTTTTAATGCAAAAGTCTGGGAACCTCTGCGACTTCTATCTGGCCGACTTAATTATTTTAGGAACTTAATATTTTATCAGCTTGTCTGAATGCACACAAGCTCCTAACACTTATATTATACTATAAATCTAGATTAGGGAGCTAATTTAAATGGTTTATATGTAGCTATAGAGGTAGAGCAGCTATTGCTTAAGAATATGGTTTTAGAAAGTTAAATACAAGCAGAAGCATTTTACTCTTGCAAGCAACTTTATCCTGTCAAACAAAAGGTAATAGCTAAGACCAACTAGAACAGATAAACAGAAAACAAGGAAAAATTTCAAAGCCCTCAACAGATCACAAAACTATTTCTAATATAAAATGGAATGACAGTTATCTTTAAAAACATCATCACGTGCTGTGGTCCTCTCTTGTTTAGGAGTCCAAGGCTATAACACTATTGGTTCTACAGTTAACCCCTTCTTGAGACTGACTAGTAACTGTGTCAGAAGGGAGATTACAGTTTTTAAAACCAAAATAGCATGTGTCAGTCTGGAAAACCTATTAGTTATTTTCTAAAACCCACCTGTACATCAGATAGAACCTCTGGTTTTCCCTGTAATCTGTGAGCTTCTTTCTTTGAAGGAGCAGATGCAAACAACTTTTTCTAGCACAGATTTAAGACTACCCTGGTCGTCATGCAGTAGCAAAATGCTTGTGGGGAGAAGAAATTTAGCTCTAAAGCCTTCCACTTTCAGAATTCAGGTTCCACTGTCAGAGAAATCACTGATGCCCTGAGCATTAATGGACTCTGTCTTGTTCCTGCAGCATGATCAGCCAGCATGTAACTGCTTCATCGGTTGCTAGGGAGCAACGAGCTCATTACATGGCATCATCCGCACCCTCCACAAGGTTGCTGGCACACGCTTCCCATCTGGGGATACTACCGACTGAAGTAACGGTGGTGGAGTGCCTGCCAGTTTTCAGTCTCCCAGGGTGGAGTATGCCAATACAGCAGGTGCTAACTTTAGCTCTACCTTCGAGGTTTTAGGCTCTAGTCTTTGTGAGCCTGGCCAATGCAATGCAACACACAAAGAGGTCAGAACAGCCTTCCACAGCTATTGGCACGGATACCCTTTGTTTTTAAAAGCCAAATCTCAACAAAGATGTTCTTCCTGAAATTTTGGCAGGCACATGCCTTTTCTGACTAGGGCAATGATTGCCACTGTTCTAAAGTCTGTGTTAGAGAAGAATCCAGTAAAAATGGAAAAAGGCTGGGGGGGGAATCTTCTTTTCAGTCATTAAGGGAGCACAAGATTCGGAGGCATTTACAGAAGACATACAGAAACCTAGTGATCTCCAAGCTGTATACATTAAGTCCGTGGAATGGATGTCAGCCATGAGCAACCTGGGTCACTTCAAAGTCTAAACATGCAACCTTAATGCATTTTTTCAGCTGTTTGCTTCATTAGAACTTCACAGATCTATTCACAATAAAAGGAAAAAAAAAAAAATCTGTCAAGAAATAAAAAAGCCACCCCACCTCCATATGCCAGGAAATTTATTAACTAACAATCTATCTGCATTACACAGAGATGGTATCTAATGATTTTCATGTACCTGTCATATGTCAAACACCATCCAAGAATTCTTAGTTCTGGTGAATTAACAAGGACATAAGGGAATACAGCTGTAGATATGCATAGATACCTATACATTCAAATCCTTAGGCAACTTCAAAATGCCTTTTTTTTTTTTAACAATTGCATAAATAAACATAAAAAGGAATGAGAAGGCAGGCAAACTGGGGTGATTCACTTACCAAGTGCATGGAACAGCTCTATTTGAAGGGGATAGGTAAATGCAAAAAGTGTCATCTTTCCCTCTTACCTGAAGTTAAGATTAAATTCTTAAGAATTTAAGAAGACCAAGATACAAAAATGCTCACCACTAATATATAAAATAATGTCATGGACACTTACGTATCAGTTAAATGCATTCCAAAATAACTGATTAGTTTGAAACACAAATATGTACCTAAGTCCTTACCTGTCTCAACAACTTCTCAACAGCTGACATTACCATGAGCCCTCTCCACACAACCGGGGCAGTCTCTTCTATCAAGAAACCCATAGACATGCTGAAACAACAAAGCAAAAACTTAAGCTTTCCAGTACAATACCAAGTACATCTGTAAAGAAGCTTGATTTAAATTAAAACATATGCTCACCATGCGATTCCATAGTTCTTAAGGGGCCTCATTAGATTTTCTAAAACAGAAGCAAACAAGCATTTTTTTTGGGTGGGGGGAAGTTGGTTTGGGGTTTTGTTTTTGTTTGTTTGTTTTTTTTTTAAAGAAATAAGCTTACACAATTTTTTTCCTTTTAAGAGCAGTTTTCCCCTTCTATTAAAAGCATTTACCTATTTTTCCCCCTCATCCCTTCAATATATGTATACATTTATCTATTCTACCCAAGAACCTGGCCTCACTTTTTCTTAGGTTGTTACATTTTACAGATACCATTCATCTTTTTACAGAATAACAATGCATTTGCCCATAATATAATGCCACTTTGTGCTGCCGAAACTGACTTAATTTATTTGTATGAAATCCCCACACTGCAAGGCATAAATCCCCTATTAGGCAGCCTTCTACTTCCGCAATACTTTGATAAATGCTGAGTCATTTATATCAGAACAAAATCAAAGTCCTACAACAGGATGGGATTTAAAATTTTTTTTTAAACTATGCTATTCACCAATCTCATGAATCGGAGGATAGTTCCCATTAACACACCAGTGTTTTGGGGAATTCTTCTCCTTGTATTAAGTTTGCTTTGGAACCCCAGAGGAGAGCTACCAAATAAAGCCACCCCTAAACTACATGCTGTCAACAGCTCCATCTAAGAAGTCCTGGATTTCTTCAGACTGGCAGAAGTCTGCATGACTTCTAAAATTTCTGTAGGAACAAAAGATGCTTCTTTGAACATTGCAGAGGTAATGTCCTTGTCATGCTCCATATTCATATGCTTTCCAGCATCAAGAAAAAAAAGGGAGGGGAAATATTGTAATTGTTCTGCTGGCAAAGGGGCAAGCAAGCAGAAAGTAAACAAACAAACAAACAAACAAACAAAGAGTGTATTCAAAACAAAACCCCGCAAAAGCCAAAAACTCCTCTTTATAGTCTCTGTCATCTAAATCCACACCTTATCTCAAAATGTGCACACACGTACAAAAGAACAAAAGGAGTTTTTATTTGGTCTAGCTCGTTTATTTTAAGAGCATGCACAGGCAGGAACCAGCAGAAAATAGAAATAATACTTTGAGCAATAAAAAAATGTATTATAATACATATTTTGACAGAAATTTTTGATGCACCCAAGTAAAATAGATAGCTTTCAAGCAATCAAGTAAGTGGGCATTCAAGCCATGTAATTTTGTAGAAGTATGGCTGAAAATAAATTGGATGTTTTGGTTTACAAATCAAAAAGAACAAAATAGGAAGCTAAACAAATCACTTGCATGACTACTGCATTCAGGAATGAGTATGGAACTGCTACGGGAAAAGAGATGGGCTTGGACTGATGCACTGCACCAGCGTAATACAACTCTTCTCTACTTGCACAGCTCCTTTCAGTGTTTAGTCAGGGCTTATTTTGGTGGCATTATACTGTCTAATCACATTTCTAGGAATCACAGTCGTACTTCCCCCTGCAGTAAGACAGCTTTGTTATGAACAGGTTGATGACATTTGAACTTCAGCCTAGAGCCATCTCTAGGCACTACTTCGCTGTCCTTGTAAGCAGCATATGTGCTACCACAAGTTGTAATACTGTTAGAGTCTTGAGAAAAATTACTACATATTTACCTATGGGAGGGTTTTAAAAAAAGAAACACAGAAAAAAAGTAAAAAGAAAAAGTATCTGCAACAGCATATATCACTGCAGATTCAAGGTCTGCTTCATTTGTATCAGGAATCGTGTAGCCAGCAGGAGCAGGGAGGTGATTGTTTCCCTGTACTCAGCACTGGTGAGGTCACACCTGGAATACTGTGTCCAGTTTTGGGCCCGTCAATACAAGACAGACATTGAGGTGCTGGAGCGTGTCCAGAGAAGGGCAACAAGGCTGGTGAAGGGTCTGGAGCACAGGCCTTATGAGGAGCGGCTGAGGGAACTGGGGTTGTTTAGTCTGGAGAAGAGGAGGCTGAGGGGAGACCTTATCGCTCTCTACAACTCCCTGAAAGGAGGTTGTAGTGAGGTGGGTGTTGGTCTCTTCTCCCAAGTAGTTAGCAATAGGACGAGAGGAATGGGCTCAAGCTGCACCAGGGGAGGTTTAGGTTGGATATTAGGAAAAATTTCTTCACGGAAAGAGTAGTCAAGCATTGGAACAGTCTGCCCAGAGAGGTGGTGGAGTCACCATCCCTGGAAGTGTTCAAAAAACGGGTAGATGTGGCACTCTGGGACATGGTTTAGTCTAGTCTACCCTTGATTGGTTTAGTGTGGACTTGGCAGTGTAGGTTAATGGTTGGACTGGATGATCTTAAAGGTCTTTTCCAACCTAAACGATTCTATGATTCTATGAGTTTTACCATGAAATAGGAACAATTTTAAGAAAAAACGAAAACAAAAAGGGGAGGCCAATCCTTGACTGCTCAGCACATGAGGACCAGGAACTGAAGGGTGAGAAGAAAGGAAAAGATGCATTTGTTCTGAGAAAGTTCACCAAAATACTATGCCACGTCTCAGTTTAATCCAAGTGCTGTACAGTATGTCAGTCAAATATCTAGATGCTAACTTCTCAACATCCACTACCTGCATGGATGGTTTCTTCTGTACAGAGCCCAGGTATACATACTAACCTCACAGAACAGACACACCTTCAGAGATTTCCCACTCCTTCACCTCAGTGGGTAAAATAGGAGAATTGCTGAGTACACAACAGTGACCTACAGAGTAGCCAAAGGGGCCTCTGTTGTTAAAACACGTGCACTGTTTATTTCTCAACGGTAGAGTTTCATTTTATGAAAACTGGATCTTATTTTCTTTGGTTAACAACAAGGACTATAAACTGCTTCCAGCAGCAAGATTTAATCAAATTTATACAATGCAAGAGAACAATTCACAACCTGCTGTATATTCTGGCTATAATGTTCTTCATGTTCTCAAAGTAATACAAAATACTGCAGAGCACCCCACTGTGTGCCTACTGCTAAAAAGCATTCTTAAGACTATCTCAAACGTAAAGTGCTTCAGTGGGCTCTGGCAATCACCCTTGTCTCATCAAAAGCAACAGGCATTGCTCCTCCTTCGCCCTGGGTCTTGTGAAGATTTTCTAAAACATAACATGTAAAGAAGATTTAGCTTAATGAGATCTCAGTAACGTCTCTAATTTCCTTTGCTTTCAGAGTTAACACGTCCTTCTCTGTTATCAGATGCCTACCATACAGTTCCAAAAATTCAACACGCAACAAAACAGATTTCTTAAAATCGCAACACACAGCAATACTATGCCACCTACGCTAAGAGATCAATAAAATATCCTTGTTTACAACTTTTCAGTAAGCTTGATGGCCCTAAATAAAAGGGTGCTGTGTTTTCTCTGAACATACAAAAGCAGATCAGTAAGATCAACAGAGCACCAATGAAATGTCAGTAAAATGCCTACTATGGTAGGGTACAAATAGGGCACTGGAAAAGGCAGACACATGCAAATTCATGACGGTATTACAGCAGATTGCTGTTTAAAAGTGTTCTAGGACTGGTCTGAAAGCTGGATTGTTACTCAATGTAGGGAAGCACGATGCTGAAGTCATTAGAACGGATCTTCTGCATTTTGTAGGGTTTTGTTGGTTTTTTTAAACATTTTTCCCCCAGAAAAATCAAGCTTTGCAGACTATCCTGACAAGGTAACTGAGTCACTCTACTCTTTTTCTCTAGAAAACCTGACCTAGCCATTCAATGGTGGCCACAGGTTAGTGCAGCACAGAAAGTATGTACAGAGCTATATTTATGGTTTTGGCTGAGATAGACTTAAATTTCTTCCTAGTAGCTAGTATGGGGCTATGTTTTGCATTTGTGCTGAAAACAGGGATGTTTTTGTTACTGCTGAGCAGTGCTTACACAGAGCCAAGGCCTTTCCTGCTTCTCACACCACCCCACCAGCGAGCAGGCTGGGGGTGCACAAGAAGTTGGGAGGGGACACAGCCGGGACAGCTGACCCCAGCTGACCAAAGGGATATTCCATACCATACGGCATCATGCTCAGCATATAAAGCTGGGGAAAGAAGGAGGAAGAGGGGGACGTTGGGAGCGATGGCGTTTGTCTTCCCAAGTAACCGTTATGCATGATGGAGCCCTGCTTTCCTGGCGATGGCTGAACACCTGCCTGCTGATGGGAAGTAGGGAATGAATCCCTTGCTTTGCTTGTGTGCACACGAGTTTTTTGCACTTTCACCCTTCCGATTCTCTCCCCATCCCACTGCGGGGGAGTGAGCAAGAGGCTGCGTGGTGTTCAGTTGCCTGCCAGGGTTAAGCCACAAAGAGATATTTCAATTCTTGGCTTAGTTTTCAGAAGAGGTCTGCTGACTGATACATTAGAACAAGCAAAGGCTTACATTCGGTCTTATCTCATCAGGTAGGTAAAGATCATTATTCCAGAAGATTGCGATGTTATACTATACCTCCTTAGGAGGCATCATGCTGTTTAAGAAAAGCAAAAGGTAGCTTAAAATTATTAAATATGAGTATAGTGGATCATGTGACACCCTAGCAAATCTGTTCTGAGCTCACTGATGGAGCAAGCACGAATGCAGAGGAGTTGATCAGAATTTTAAAGTGTCTGAAATAAGGAGTACGTTGGGGTTTTTTACCATTTCAAAGGCAAAAAAAATCCGAACATGAGATGAGAATACTAGAAGCTCAGATTTTCCTCCCTGTTAAAGATTTCCTATTGTACTTGGCTATTTTTTGAACTTGCCACTATAATGGAAGATCAGAGACTTCCTAAAATGATAACTAATTATTTTACTTGATGTTTCTCTTCAAAAAAATCTTAATAGCGGAAGTCACCTGGCTGTCGTAACTGGATTTTGGTCATCGAGCAGGGAAACGGCACTTTTAAGTTGTTCTAAGATGGGACATCAATATCTAAATCTATCAAAAAGTAGAACAATTGTACAATTTTCAGGTAAAAAACGTGCTATTGACCTTTGCATGTAGATTTCCAAATGTTCCCAAAGACACTACCAATGCAGAAGCATTTGCCAGCACAG